CTAAATTTGAAACCCTGGAAATGTGTGAGGGAATCATAATGCATTTTAATAGGAGACCATTGAGTGTGATGCAGGCAGTGTTTCATGCTGCCTGGTTGTTTTCTGTGACTTCAACACTCAGCGTGAGCTCACCATGTGGTAGTTGGCTGGACATATTAGGAGGGAGCGATTATCATGCATGTGTCCTGTTGTGTGTTCTGATTATCACACTCTGAAAGAATCACACTTCAGGCTTACAAAGTTTAGAGTGCTTAAGTTTCTAATCCAACTTGCCATGCTACCTGGTCAAGATATCTGTGTAAACCAATGTCATCTTACACACAACCTTATTCTCCAGTGCAGTATGAATGTGACCTTCTAGATCTTCACAATCAATACAGAATGGTTCGGCCACAACTGGAGAACTGCATGCAGTTCTGGTCATCGTGTCATAGGAAAGGTGTGATTACATTGGAGAGGGTGCAGAAAAGGCTCACCAGGATGTTGCCAGGGCTGGAGGAAAGATTGGATGGGCTGAGGCTGTTTTCCTTAGCAACAAAGTTTGACAGGGAATCTGATAAGTTTAAAACTGAATTTGAATATGAAGACACTTTTGCCATTAGCAGAGAGCACAATAACCAGGGGTCATAAATTTAAGAGATAGAAAGCTAATTGGAGGGTAGAGGAGAAATGTTTTCACAATTTGATGGGAATCTGAACTCGCTGCCTAAAAGGGTGGTTGAGTCACTACCTGAAAACATTTAAGCAGTATGTAGATATCATGTGCATTGCTGTAGCCTCCAAGTTGTGGACCAAAAGCTGGAAAATGGGATTAATGCCATAAGATGCCAATTCAGTTCACTCCAAGTGATAGCAAGAAATGGTTGGAGACATTGGATACTGCAAAGACTAAAGGTCCAGACAATATTCTGGCAATAGTACTGAAGGCCTGTGCTCCAGAACTTGCTGCTCCCCTACCCAAGCTGTTCTGGCACAGCTATATTGTTGGCATCTACCCAACAATGTGGAAAATTGTCTAGGTATGTCCTGTACACAAAAAGTAGGACAAATCCAACCCAGCCACTTAGCGTTCCATCAGTCTACTGTCAATCATCAGTAAAGTGATGGAAGGTGTCATCATCAGCACTATCAAGTAGCATCTGCTGAGCAATAACCTGCTCAGTGATGCCCAGTTTGCGTTCCACCAGGGCCACTCGGCTCCTAACCTTGTTACAGCCTTGGTTCAAACATGGACAAAAGAGCTGAATTCCAGAGGTGAGGTGAGAATGTTAGCCCTTGATGTCAAATGTGGCCTTGATAGAGTGTGGCATCAAGAAACCCTGGGTATCGGGCACACTCTCTGCTGGTTGGAGTCATACCTGGCACATAAGATGATTATGGTTGTGGGAGGTCAGTCATCTCAGCTCCAGGACATCTCTGCAGGAGTTCCTCAGGATAGTGTCATCTTCACTACTTCATCAATTACCCACCCTCCCCTCCATAATAGGGTCAGGATGTTTGCTGATGATTGCACAACATTCAGCACCATTCACGACCCCTCCGATACTGAAGCAGTCCATGGTCAAATGCAACAAGATCTGGACAATATCCAGGCTTAAGCTGACAAGTGGCAAGTAACATTCGAGGAAAACAAATGCCCAGGGAATGACCATCTCCAATAAGATACAATCTAACCACCACCCCTTGACATTCAATGGTGTTACCATCATTAAAATCACGTCCTTGATGTAACCATTGACCGGAAACTCAACTGAACCTGCTACAAGAGCAGGTCAGAGGCCAGGAATACTACAGTTAGTAACTCACCTTCTTGAGTCTCCAAAGCCTGTCCATCATCTCCAAGGTGCAGGTCGGGAGTGTGATAGAATACTCCTCATTTACCTGGATGGGTGCAGCTCCAGCAACACTGAAGAAGTTTGACACCATCCACAGGCAACATGAGCAAAGACCCCTCCCAACCCGGTTATAGCCTCTTCCTCAGCAAATACACTATTGCTTCTTTTCCCTAAGGCCATGGGTAAGCTACACTGCACTCGAGCAAGGTGGGGCGGTGGGGGGGGGTGTGGATTGAGATAGATTGTGGCTTTGATATACATTTCTGTAGTTGCATTTTCAGAATTTGAAACAGAAATTGAATCTTCAGCTTCTGACTACTTTTTCAGAATTGGCAGGTACTACAAGTAGGCATCATATGTTTGGCAATCCTGAACATCCAGTGAGGACTTAAACTCAAAGACATTGTTGGTCAGCAGTAGTTACTTTCGTTACTGCACCATCTCTGACCTGCGTTCCATTTGACTCCCCACTGCTCACCCAGTGGATGAATGTACTAATTCAGGCAGGGTAGCTTTTACCTAATGCAGCAATGCTTATGTTATCCACTGTCACAAAAGAAACTAGGAAGTTGGGTAACATGGCATTGGAAGACCCAAAAGATGTTTATTACAGTTCATTCGTATGTGCAAACATTGTGTACACTGGCAATTCAGTATCTGGTCTACCATTAAACAATATGGTTACAAAGAGTTGTAGAAAGTGGGGCTTCTATCACATGTCATGCATCAAGTAGCCAGGGTTAAGATAGAGGCTGAGATCATTTATATCCTCAGGTCACATGCTAAAGATCCAATGACTACATCATGAACATGTCTCTTAAACTTTTACTGACATATCAAATGTGACACATAACATATCTTCCCTCTACTCCTTAACCACTGCAAGCTCCATTTATTATATTAGCAAAATCCACATGCGTGTAATACTTGAAAAAACCTTATTTGAATTCAACAAAAATCAAAACCAGGGACATTTCAAAATTGATATCAGGACGTCGTTCTGTGTGCATCATGCATCATAGATTGAGTTTGTCACAATAATTCTCAGTTTGGTACAAAATAAACAGTCATTACTACCTGAAATGACTTTAGAACATAGAACATAGAACATTACAGCGCAGTACAGGCCCTTCGGCCCTCGATGTTGCGCCGACCTGTGAAACCAATCTGAAGCCCATCTAACCTAAACTATTCCATTA